TTATATTGGAACACCCTTATAGGCTTCAGACAGATTTATATTGACGCAAATAAAACTTTTTGAATATGAATAAATAGAGTATTTGCGCTTTTGAATTTTAACAGATAAATGTGTTAATTCTCCACGTTGTTAATAAAAAAAATTGCGCGTGAATACTGATACGTTTTTATATATAATATCTTTTATGTATTAATTACAGAAAATGAAATAATTTCTCTTGTACCATTTATGCTGTAAATCAGCAGATTATTTGTATAATAGATTTTCCTATAGTAGATTACATCAATATTAATACGCAATATTAATAGTAGCAATATTAATAGTAGATCGTAACATCAGTGTATATTGACATTTTATATAATTAGAAGAAATAAATAGCTACATAATTTATTGATATACATAACGCAAGTGTGCACATTAATGAAATTGTTACTTCGATCAGTAGTTTAGTCACAGCTACTAGCCATTAATTCAATGTATCGCCAAAAAGGCAAAATGTATAAAAATTGTATCTTACTGGAAGCGAAAAGACGCGGCCGTTTCTTGTCATTTACGCTTACGTAAAATAGGAACATTCGATTATTCTCTTATCTACAAGAAGATAAGAAGTTATTACGAGATGTGTGAGGAAGAAAATTCGTCATTTCTGGAACGAAGACGCACGGTCTTGGCAGTAATAACGGAAATGTGGCGACTCCGTGGCACAGGACAACAGACTCTGTGTACACCTTCACATTCTCCATCGTTATTCGCGAGTGAGCATAGAGTTTGCGTCGAGCGTGCATGAAGAGAATAATGGGAAGCTCGTCGCGAGAAGTCAGCGACGCTGTACAAAAGGCAGATAACGCAAACCGAGAGGAACCTTGAGTAGTTCCCGGAAGATATCTCGTGTGTCGGAGAATGGCAGGGATTTTTTTCAAAGATTAAAATACATATCGCAATTGATAACGGCGGGCAACAGGTAGTTGAAGTTGCGATCGCTGAAAAAAATGGAATGTCGTCCAGATTACGTCTGGACTTCCCCTCTTCGAGTTTTTCTCGATAAAGGAGACAATTAAGGACGGATAAGGGAGACAATTTCGAAAAAAATTACTCTATCTGATAACGTAATAGGATACGGAAACAGCAGATGTGATCAGTAAGATGCGATTGCTAGATTATACCTGATGTACCTGGTTTTCTTTCGATTTTTACCTTTAACAGATAGGAAACTCGATTCAAAGGAATTTCTCGAAGAAATTTCTTTCAGACCGTCTTTACCTAAAAGATACGACAGTCTATTTATTCAACCGCCATTTCCCTATTTTCGACATCAGATCATGAATAAATTTCGATATTTCAAAAACTCAAATTAATGTCAAGTTCGCAATTCAAATTAATTGAAAGAGGAAATCCCGTTGCATATTAATCTGCATATTAAAAGTTTAATCCGCTCTAACATTCTTGTATTTACTATATTAAGTAAATTGATCTAGATGAAAACCGGAATTTATTCCTCAGTCAATTCCAATTAAACTTTACTTTACCAGAAAAGTAACTCAAGGCTTGATTAGCAAGAGGGTCATTTATCTATCGCTGAAAATTAAAAAATGCAGCAAGGAATTTGTTACATATTCATAAATATAAATTTATTTAATTATTACTTCATACTTGTCAACATCTACATTTGAAAGGGCGCAAACTGTAGCCCCCTGAATATTTGATGACGGTTGACGCACGGTTGAGACACTTAGATGGAAATAGCTGAACATCTTCACTAGGTTATGCATGCGAAATTTCTCGGGGGAAACGTGTGCATACAGTGTTACAAGTCGTACACACATGACGAGACACGTACACAAGAAGGCCAAACACTATACATATCGATTTTCCTATGATTATACTCGTCTCATCAAAGATATCTCAGAATCTTTCCCTCGACATTTCTTTGTCCTTTCAATATTTCTTCGTTCATAAATAAGAAGAAATTTGAATGTTTTTATTTTAAGTATCTTGTATAAATATATGATTAAAATCTATATATATATAATAGCAAAGCTAAAAACACAGAAAAAACACTTTTGCTGTAAATCTAAATATTTTTTATACAGATCTGGAAATAATTTTGTTGGACCTGCAAAAAATTATTGTGTACAACGCTCAAGTTAAAAGAGCAAAAATTTTTATAGTATTATCATAACGTTTAAGCCTCTTACGTAATTTATGATCCAACAAAATTATTTGGAGATCTGAATAAATCTAGATGAATTTTTAGGTTTGCCAGCAAAATTGTTCTCTCCATATAATCCTTGAAAAAAATCCCATTGTGAGTAAGCCTTTACGGTTTCTCCGGACATAAATACACGTGTGTAATAGACGTCAAAATATAATGAATATTACTCATGAGCATTGTCCGTTGGCGTTACAACTAAATGGATTAATAGACGCTTGCGACTTAGCGTCCATAAGTCGAAACTAATATCGGCAACAGTCTGCCAGGGATTACAAAGGGGTATATTATGTACATTTATATTGCCGATGGATATCATGTACCCAGGAACAATGGATGAACCTGAACCTCTCGATGGATATTTTCTTTCACAGAAAACTGCTCGACGCAGTCTGGAAAGGCAAACAGTCTAACGTACTTTAAAACGAGCAAACAGCTGGGACTTTGTTATTTCGCTCTCGACTCGCTGTCTGACCCATTTTTATGTATTTGAAATATGATAGCTTTGTGGACGTTGCTTCTGACAATCTAAATTTCTTATATTTGTTCTTAAATTTTTCTTCCCCATGTATGTAATACAAAAATGTTATCGAATCATCATATTCCCCATAAATTTGTTGCGGGTTGCGACAAGAGGGGAATTTTTACAATTGTGCGTTGTGCATTTCGTTCACACCGGTCGCCGAGGCGTCGTCAGGAATGAAATACTAATTATTCGGTCGTTGAACTGGAGATGACTTGATTACGATGCGCGAATCCGTCGGCGGCCGAGACTGATTAGGCTTACGAGTGCATTAACGAAGTCAATTTTCGACGCTGATGCAATTGCCCGTCCCTTCGCCGGAGAATCAAATTCGTGACGTCGTAATGTCAAAGGCCATCACCGCAATTTAGTCGACGCTCGCTTGTTCCTCGCGATAATCTAAATCTAAAAGCTATGCAAACGCTGAGTTTTATGACGCAAAGGCAAACGTCTTCGGTAGTTTAACTTTTATTTTCCACGATGTCACGAAAAAAATGTAGAAAACCACGTACGATGTATTATATATCGACGACTCTTTTCATAAATTTGTGAATCTAAAAACACGTTGTCTAAACATACATTGTTCATTATTTAAACGCTACAATTTGCGAAGCATTGTACAGATATAGCACTACCAATAATGTCGAGTATTAATTGTGCTCGTATAAACTTGGGTAATTGTGTGTTATTTCGTAAATGCGGACGATGCGCGGTATTCATAGCGTATATATATATATATATCGCAGCAAACGTTAAGGCAAATATTTTGATATTTTGATTGCAGTGATTCACAATACATGTTGTCCGTTTTTCGCGATAAAATTATTTCGTTACCGTATTAAATGCTTCACATCGTATTATTAATCGTACAATCTTGATATATAGAATATTTAAATTAATATTTAAATTATTCTGCATAAAACACTTGATACTTAAGTATTTTCCATTTTTTACAGGTACAGCGATGGCTCCGTACGATTACGAAATCCCAATATCGAACTCATGGATCAGGACATATTGTACCATCTCGCACTTGGCAGTGGATCCCACGATCTCGTTGAAATGTTCGGCGACGTCAAGGTAAATCGGATAACAGTTCTACGTTATATTTGCATAAGAAATATTGGAATATTTATGCCAATACCTAAGGGTCTTTATTCAAATACTCGAACAAACGTTGTCGGCGTATTCTTCAATTTTATATATAAAAATATAATTGAATTGCCTTTCTCAAATCTTTTAATGTTTAGAGATGTCTCTTTGTAAGCCTGGTATTAAAAATCTATTAAAGTAAAATTCATTAAAAATTTTTTAAATGCACAAGATTTATTTATTTCCATTGGCTAATACATGGATTTTTTATTTTCAGTCAGTTCTGATTCAACAATTTAGTTATATTTAATATTGGCAGAATCATAATCATTATTATCTAACAAAGTATTTGTAATTTGTAATTATATTGTAATATTATTACATATTATTATAGGTAAATAATATATTATTATTATTATTATTATTATTATTAACCATCATAAATGTGACAAATGCATAAGTTTATTAAATGTTTATATATCTTCATATTATGAAAGTCAAATGACTCAAATGATTATCATAAGCATATTACGTCGTTACCATGCTTTATCACTATTTTTTTTCTCATTAATGTACATTGTATTTTATGTCAGTGACATTACTCCTGTTTACACATTATCTCGTATCTATCAGTGACATAACACGTGCTGATATGAATATTAAATATATATAGTTTTTTTTTACTAGTGCAGTAAAGTATTGCAAGATCATACAACAATTATATAGACCGTGAATATTATCAACGTGATAAATAATTACTTAGTACGTTTATCCTTACATCTATTTTTTTAATTATTTTTAATATAATAATTTATACATAAGCAAATAAATTCTTTTTTTTCTAATTTAGACTTTTTAGAAAATTGCTTTCGTTTCATGCGTAATTTTCGTTAGAATAACTAAATATCTGTCTCGTACAATTATGCTAAATTATATTAAATTATAAATTATCATGAGTAGCAAAAGAATGTGACGTTACATCACTTAATATTGGGCCTCTGACTCTTCGCGATAAGAGTTCACATAACGTCTCAGCGGATATTTATTACGTTTGTCAATAATCGATTAGTCAACGCATCTTTGCTCCCTGTATTTGACAGTCGATCTGGATCAGAAACGAGAATACGCATCACTCGTGATCGCATGAAATTACCGATATCACGCGATATGCTCGTGATGTCAATAAATCACGAAATATACTTCAATGCGACGTGCGATTACATCGGCCACTCGTTTATTTTTACCATCCGTAACCGATGATCTTTGACATTTAAGATGAATCAGGCCGTCCGAAGAATGAAAGATTCCGGTCACATCACTTTAACGATACGAATTCGCGTTCCCGCTTTCTTTCTCCCTTTTCAACTATATTCTTTGTCTCGGTCACTTATTATTCTGTTATTTTAACGATGGCTCTTACGATGGCTCTTACGAATCTATTTTCAGTCAAAACAGTTTTATCTTAACACAATTGCATTTCATCTCATTTCAGTTCGTCTGCATGGGTGGAACGCCGAAAAGGATGGAGCATTTCGCAAACTACATCATGCAGGAGATCGGTCACAAGCTGCCCGCGGGAACGACTCTTCTTGACATCACCAAAAATTCCTACCGCTATTCGATGTATAAAGTCGGCCCTGTCCTATCGATCAGCGTAAGATTTTTTGAATTTTCTTTGATCTTCGAATCTTCTCGGATACGGGTTTCTTCTTCTAGATGATAATTTTATTTATTATCGAGGAAATAGCGAGATCAGAGTAGATGATCAGAGTAACTTGGTTCTTTAAAGAACGTTATATTGCGCCGTGATTGGAATGTGACATAGTGGAACTTCTATCCAAGTATCGTTTCCAAGTATCAAGCGAGTTTACTTTTGCATAATTGTGGAGTCGCGTTTAAGTGGACCACCTGTTTAAGTGGACTTAATGAGACGAACGCGTTCGCGGTATGTTTGAAAGTTATCCTTTCATTGAAATCGTGATTGATTTCACATAGTTCACATGTTCGACTGGATCGATGGATATTTTTTTCAAATCCGAATAGAAATCCGGTAGTATTAATTTTTATACAGAGGTGTTGACGTTTTGAAGTGTTGCATCATTATTAATTTCAAAATAACATTTTAATAGAAAATTTCAAACGTAATAAAAAAAATAGCATTGGTACTATGTTAAGTTTGATTGTTTAAAAATCCAAAAATTATAAAATCAAAAATTGATTTTAATATTCTTGAAAAATAACTAGCAATAATGCAAAAGACGGAGTAAATTGCCACTTTTGCATATGCATGACGTTATAAAGATGTCGCGATGTATCTTGGAAAGGAAACAATATCGCGACATTCATAACATCTCTTGGTTCAATGTAGCGAGATGGACAATTCATTCTTGATGAGCAAAAAGATTCGCTAACATTCCAGACTAATCACGCTCGGCAAGCAACTTCGTTGCTTCGCCGTTATAATACTCTATTTACGTGGTTTACACGTCTGGACGATCAAACCGTTTTTTCTCGTTTCGCCTCGCGCGATTTACGCACGCGGTATGCCGAGCGAGCAGCTCAAAACGCAATTGCGTCACCTGGCTGCTGGAAGCAATTTTTTATGGTAGAAACATCTCGCTGCTGCTTTTACGAGCGAGTGCACTTGACATCGCAAATTTTTATAGAATATAGGTCGGAATAACATGGTGGTTGATTTTTTTTAAACAGGGAAATCAAGTACCGTGTGTATTTCATTTGCATTTACGATAAATATTAAAATTTAATTAAAATTTATAAAAGGAAAAGATTAATGACACGAGGTCAGGAAATATTTAAAAAAAAGTATCAATTATCTGTTTAGCACGGAATGGGTATACCTTCGGTTAGTATCTTGCTCCACGAAGTTATCAAGCTAATGTACCACGCAAAGGTGAAGGATCCAGTCTTCATTAGAATTGGCACTTGCGGCGGTATCGGTTACGAGGGCGGTACAGTAATCATTTCGGAGGAGGCCTTGGATGAGACGATGAAGCCTTATATGGAATTGGTTAGTGATTTCATTAAATTCATACACAAAATAAAAAAGGAGCGAAACATTTGATATAAATTTTATACAGGTTAATACTGTCGTATCCCTGTTTTTCTTCTAGCAAATTAATTTTGCCTAAAACTAATAATTACTTGGGGGTACATAAATTACATAAATTAGTGGGGTGATTATAATTTCTATAACATATAAGAATCGAAAGGGAAATTGATCAATGGATTTATACAAATTTAAATACAAAATAAAGAAGACTAAAATATTCGATATAATAAACGTTATACATTCTTAATATATTCCTATTTTTTTTTTTTTTTTTAACTAAATTAATTTTATCTGAGCGCAGACTGTTTCGTGCATGATTTTAATTTCTGCAAAAGACAGAATTAAACAACTGTCATATCATCTTGCAGATGGTACTCGGAAAACTGATACGCAGACCGGCCAAGCTCGACCGGCAGCTGGCCCGCGATCTGAAGGCTCTGGCTCACCGTGACGACCCGTACGAAACCGTGATCGGCAAGACCATGTGCTCGAACGACTTCTACGAGGGCCAGGGTCGCCTGGACGGCGCGTTCTGCGAGTTCACGGAAGCCGACAAGATGGAATACCTCACGAAGCTGCAGAAGGCCGGCGTGGTGAACATCGAGATGGAGAGCCTCTGCTTCGCCGCGCTGACACACCACGCCGGCATCCAGTCCGCCGTCGTGTGCGTGACGCTGTTAGACCGACTCAAAGGCGACCAGGTATATGCGACCTATGTATTTTCTGGACATCGGACACTCGTACGCTCGCGAGAAATCCAATATATGCCGTAGCCTATAAACATGAGTCACGAGCGGTAGAATCGTCGGGGTATCGTTTTACATTTTTTTCATCTGTACACACGAACTTAAACGCGATAATTTCGCGACGAGACGGACGCACGGTGTATCGTCGAGCACGAGATGATTTTAAAGAACAAGATTTTAAAGAACATTTCGTATCTGTTACGTAAGTACGCTTGCCAATTTATTATTATTGATCTCGCTACGCGTGTTAATTCATAATATATACGCGGTTAACGTTTTATTGGTGGCTCGACTCTTTTTGAATCGATCGTCGAGGATCGGCGTTCTAATTGATTCCGTGATTTACAAAGGTTCTAGCGCCCAAGGAAGTGTTGGAGGAATGGCAGTTGCGACCGCAAAAGCTAATCGCACGCTACATCACCACGTATCTTCAGCGCAAGGGCCGCCTCTCTCTGGAGGGCATACACGGCTCCATGTACGTGAAGAGCCCGCGCCGGTTCAAACTCGTGCAGCAGGAGTCTGAGAATTACGATTAAGTAATTCTCCAAAACGAATACGAAGATGCAGCCACGAAGATCTCCCGAGGTGCGATCGGATACATCGGCTCGACTACAGGATCGGTTGACTTGCGCCGCGGAAGTTGCCGTGTCCGTTTATTTTATTCGCGAAAGCTTGATTTGTATTCGCGAAAATAGCGTGACAATGGTGTATTGAGATATAAAGAGAGAGAGAGAGAGAGAGAGAGAGAGAGAGAGAACGAAAAGGTAAAAATTT